TAAGTGCCAGTCTTTTTAAGAATCAGGCAATTTAGAAAAATTTCAAAACATGGCCGAAAAAAACCCACTAACCAAACCATCTTATTTTGAAGTTACCCTCATTCTGAGTTAGAAATGGTAGGTCTTTTGTTTCTGCGTGTCTGGTAATTCGAGAAATCTCTAGATAACTTTTGGTTAGAATGATAGCAAATTACGGAGTTAGCTCCCCTTAATTGTTAATTTCTAGAGCAATTCAACCAAATTGTATCTTGAATTACAAGAACAGGAAAAGGGAACGAATGTTATATTCGTGTACCATTATACAATTTGAACATATATTAATGTCAAATTGAGTGGGTTTTTTTGTCATGTTTTCACCACTGCCTGATTCTTAGGCAGATTGGCACTTAAGTGGTGAAATGTAATATTTACAAATCAGTGAAGGTTATTGCAAAATGTACATAAACTCAAAACTTTGCCAAACAAGAATACATGTCCATAGGTTACCTGGCGTGCCCTGCTCACATAAACACATTCCCATGTTCAGAGAACTTTGAAATCTGGGCAAACCCCTTATTTGGCACATGTTTCACATCATAACTGTGTAATAAATTTCATGTTGATGTGACCAACCCTTCATGGTCAACTACTTAAACCAAAACTTTAACCTGATGAGTGAATTACAAAATCTGGGACGAAACCCTTCCTTGGTATATATTCTAACAAGTCCACATCACAATGTACATATCTACTAAGTATAATGTTGATGTGTTCACAACATAATGGTAAGCTATCTTAAACTAAAACTTTAAATTGATACAAGATGGATGGACGCAGACCAAAAACATAATGTACCTACTATTAACCAAAACTTAAACCTGATACAGAATAGACAAACTGACCAAAAAATGTAATCCTCCCTAATATCGTAGCTGGGAATAAAAATCACTCAAATTTACTTTTACCATGGGTCAACATTGCCCAAATGTAGCTGAGTATCATATGAGCTTTACAAGAAAACTGCAGTGGTGAAACACCATAGATATATTGCTTTAAGGCATCTGAGAAATGGACTTAAATCCAACAGCTTATGATAATCACTTAAAAAGGGCTGTAGTGGTGAATATCCACAATATACAAAATATGTATTTCTATGTTGTAATGTTACACTACTATTTCAGGTTAGGGTGATGGTTGGCGCCTGTTGAAATGTTTTAACCCGCTGCATTTGTTTGCACCTGTCCTAAGTCAGGAACCTGTTGTTCAGTGGTTGTCGTTTGTTGATGTGGTTCTTAAGTGTTTCTCGTTTCTTGTTTTTTTTATAGATTAGACCGTTGGTTTTCCTGTTTGAATTGTTTTACACTAGTCATTTTGGGGCCGTTTATAGCTTGCTTTTCGGTGTGAGCCAAGGCTCTGTGTTAAAGGCCGTACTTTGACTTTTAATTGTTTACTTTTTACACATTGTGACTTGGATGGAGAGTTGTCCCATTGGCACTCATACCACATCTTCTTATATCTATATAAGTACATGTTCTTAAATTACCTTCACAAAAATACTAAAAAATAAAAAAAGCAGAATAAAGATACATGACTGGACAATAGTAATTATAATTGGGGTAATAAAATCTTCATTTTTGTCGAGCCTTCGACTTTAGTCGAAAAAGCGAGACATAGAGATCCTACATTCTGTCGGCGTCGGCGTCGTCGTCGTCGGCGGCGGCGTCCACAAATATTCACTCTGTGGTTAAAGTTTTTTAAATTTTAATAACTTTCTTAAACTATCCTGGATTTCTACCAAACTTGGACAGAAGCTTGTTTATGATCATAAGATAGTATCCAGAAGTAAATTTTGTAAAAATAAAATTCCATTTTTTCTGTATTTTACTTATAAATGGACTTAGTTTTTCTGCCGGGAAATATTACATTCACTCTGTGGTTAAAGTTTTTGAAATTTTAATAACTTTCTTAAACTATCCTGGGTTTGCACCAAACTTGGACAGAAGCTTGTTTATGATCATAAGATAGTATCCAGAAGTAAATTTTGTAAAAATAAAAATCCATTTTTTCCTTATTTTTACTTTTAAATGGACTTAGATTTTCTGCCAGGAAACAACACATTCACTCTGTGGTTAAAGTTTTTAAAATTTTATTAACTTTCTTATACTATTTTGGGTTTGTACCAAACTTGGACAGAAGCTTGTTTATGATCAAAAGCTAGAATCTAGAAGGAAATTTTGTAAAAAAATAAATCCATTTTTTCCGTATTTTACTTTTAAATGGACTTAGATTTTCTGCCAGGAAACAACACATTCACTCTGTGGTTAAAGTTTTTAAAATTTTAATAACTTTCTTATACTATTTTGGATTTGTACCAAACTTGGACAGAAGCTTGTTTATGATCAAATGCTAATATCTAGAAGGAAATTTTGTTTTCTTCCAGTTAACATTACATTCAGTCTGCAGTTTAAGTTTTTAAACATTTATTAGATTCATAAACTATCCTGGATTTTTACCAAACTTGGACAGAAGCTTCTTACAATCAAAAGATAGTATCAAGAGGAATATTTTTATTGATTTACTTCCTCATTTTTGTTGAGCCTGCGATTAACAGAAAAAGTAGGCGAGACACTGGGTTCCGCGGAACCCTTACGAATTTTTTTATATGAATCCAATATAAACAGTAGAAAATATGGTGAAACAGTACAAAAATCAAATTAAGTTTCAGTTATATCTGGTAACTTATTGAGCAAACAAAAAACCTTCCAAGCAATGAGAATGTTTATTCATATATATAAGGTTATTCTATACATATGCCCAATGCATATATTGCATAATTGAGACTAAAATTTCTTATAAACACACTGCATCCTTGACATAACTTGGATTATAATTATAGTTACATTTAATGCATATATATATATCACACAATAAAAAGCAATTATGATAAAAACTACTGTGAAAAGATAAAACAGTTGTTTATACTGAACACTGTAACAGCTTGAGCCTTAGTAATACTGAGATATATGTTTGTGTAGGCATTTACTATTCCTACATACACACGGAATATAAAATATGTAAAGACTAAGTCTGCATCAGATTCTTAAACTTTTCTTATAACTTTATTATTACCAGGGTAGTCTGGATTTTTTAATGAGGGTAGAAATGGGGTACCCTACATGACAAATGACAGTTAAATATATGTTAAAATAACGTTAACGGTAAACATTGTTTCTTCTTTGAAGATAACGGTAGTTACATAATAAGATTTGACAAATGAATATAAAATATGACGGCTCATTTGATTCTAACGGTAGCAAAAAAATGGACGTTTGTCGATACAGGGCATTCTTACCCTTTTTACTGCCTTTAGTTCAATATGCAATTAATTACTATTTGGCAGAGTGAAGACTACAAAAATACTTCATGAATAGCAGTTTGGAATGAAGCTAAAATCTGTCTAGATGCTAAATGGTCCAATCTTAATATTGTCATTGTACAAGAACATTATAAACATCATAATCATGATATGGAGTACATTGCTTGATTTATTATATAATATTGACTATAAAGATATTAAATACATAAATTATTCATCTGAGATGTCTTATTTATGGCCAACAGATACTCAATATCCAATAATTCATCACATAGTTTAACCACATTTTCAGAATCAATATGACCCCAGCTATATTTCTTGTAAAAACTAGTGCCACTTTTGAAACTGCAAGTGGACCACACTTTAAAACTATAAATAAATGAATTTGTATACAACTCTTGACCACTGCAATTATTGGGATAGGGCATATGGATTTGATGAACATAAGACTATATTTTGAAAATTACCGGATCTAGAAAATAACCAAATATCAGATGCACATGACTTTTATTGCTGTTCTTCATCATAATAGTTATTAAGGACATACACCTTACACTCAGAACATTTATTAGTTTTTATAATAGAAGTAAAGAGGAACAAATACCCTAAACAAACAATTTTTCACCAAAATATCTCCCTGTCCTTATGTGAACTAGAGGTTTTTAAATCTTTTTTCTGCCCTTGACAAAGATCTTTAGAACCTGTTTTTAAAAGACATTTATTTCATTGGGAATTCATCTTCCAAATTATTATAATTAGCTCAAGTCTAACAATTTTGCCAAAGAGAACCTAACAATGTTACAGTCAGCAATAAAAATAAAGCAAGATGTAGTTTTTGACCAACTGTTAGAGGGCTTTACAGCCAGTCAAGGTCATTAAACACTCCTATAGTACTTTTTGATGGTGACAATCCTTGCAAAAGGACTTTGGGCGAAACATTGGACTTGAGCTAAAGACCTTTTATTTCAAAATATTGGGCTGCCATTTTTTCTGTCTTTTAGCTTAATCTTTTTTAAAGTTTTGTTTTTTTCACCTTTTATATTTAGTAGTTCATAATAAAATGTACCCTTTACCAAAATGAATAAATCTTTGGTTTATGAATGATTAATGTTTAGGAGTTAACTCCCAAAAGTGATGTCACCTGTTTATTATAATTGTTTTCTCCAAACAAGAAGCCTGCAGCAAGGAGTGTACAATGTAAAAATCAATTTACTACATGTGCTGGTATAGAAATATTTTTACATAAAATATTACAATGTTTTGATAATTTTCAGCAAGTCAAGCTATGACAGGGAAGATTTAAATACTACTGTGAACTCATTTATTTTCGTTGGTAACAATTTTTGTGATTTAAGGAAAAATTGTATTTTCGTTCATATTTGAATTCATTGTTTCACAAAGTCGGCAAATAAACCTATTCAAAATTTGCACCTCTTTGAACGTTAAAATTCATGGTTCTCCTGTACCTATGAAATCCATGAAAATTGGTATGCCACGAATAATAATGAACCTACAGTAATATCTGTTTAACTGCTAACATTTCATACAGATCAAATGTATTGTGTATATAAAAAAATAGAACCATATGTGAAGAATTTATATTGATCAACAACATGAAGATAGAACATACTAGAATAATACTTACACATAAACAAATTAAACATTGTGAATGCTTTCCTTTCCAGAGACTCAACAGAAATGAGAGACTGTCACCTCAACACACAATGGAGGCTAATCAAGTCAAGTCAATAAATTTTTTCCAGAATGTCCTCAGCTTTCAAAAACTATTAATGAATTACAGTATTATTGGAAAATAATCCTACAGTATTAAGCTATGAAATCTGTCATGCTAGCTAGGCCAAGATCAATTAATGTGTAAATAATAAATGAGACTCTCAATACAAGTACATCCAGATTTGGCTATCAGCATTCTATACCTTTATCAACAAAGTTTGTATATAAAGTGATTAATCGTCAAATAAATCTCTAATTTATGCCACTGGATTGTTTGATGCTCAATTATATGTCATTACAGTCACACAAAAAACTGTAAATTATTATAGGTAAATCACTCCTCACACCTGGAACAGCTGATAGTGTCCTCTAACCCATGTGTTAATTAGTAAACTGCTATCTAGTTAACCTAACGAGATTGTATCCTTCACTTATACAGACAAACAATATTAATATCTTGGCATATGTGATGATTTGACCATTATAATGGTGCACATATCAAGATTTGTGTACAACAATACATCACTAACAGACACGTTTATGTCACCTGGGGGCTTTCTCAAAAGGTAGAAGAGGAGATAAATTATGACACCAAAAACATATAAATCTATTGAACATAGTAATCAATGTTTTATTTCTATTGACAATTGTATATAATATATTTATTTAATTAAATATCTGAACTAAATGTAATAATTAAATCAAAAGTTCATTAGATAGACATAAAAATAGGGGGAAACAGGGAGGGGTGATACAATTTTCACTGTTTGCAATTGCATGATAATTTGACCTCTTTGTGCAAAAAAAGTTCTTCATTTACAAATTGAATAAGACTAAATCAGCAAAATAAATCATCTAATAATTAATAAAAATCATTTCCAATCAAAATAGATTTTTATAAGCATTTAGTTTCCATAGGAAACAGTGATCACAACATTGTTCTTCTGGACCTAACTTGCAAACCAGTAAAACCCAAACCTACTAGACGAAAATTACCTCTGGAAAAAAGCTGAGATTCATAAAGTACAAGATGACTTAACATTCAGCATAGTCTTCAAGAACCAATCTCATCAGAGTATAGAAATAATGTGGCAGACTTTTACATCCACAAATAAGACCATCATAGAAAACAGAGTTCCCACAAAAATAACACAGTCAAAACACACCAATCCGTGGTTGAATGCCAAGGTTAGACGGAAAATCAGCCAAAAGCACAGAGCCCATGCTAAACCCTGGAAAAGAAAAAAGAAAAAAGACAAAGACAGTTACGTGAAACTACAGACAGAAGTTCAATATGAAACCAGGAAAGCAAACAAACAGTACATGACAGATGTTATATGTGATAAAGATAACACCAACAGATTATGGTCATATATCAAAAGTAAAGAACAAGAATTTATAGCAGTTGCACAATTGAAAAACCAACAAGGATTTCTACAAAGTGACAACCAGAGTAAAGCAAACATACTCAATGAGCAATTTGGTTCAGTTTTCACCAAAGAGGATTACACAAACTTCCCAGACAAAGGACCAAGTACATTTCCAACAATGAAGGGCATTAACATCACTGTACATGGAGTCTATAAACTGTTGAAGAACCGGAAACTCAAAGGTCCAGACGACATCCCAGCATTTATACTCAGAGCAGCAGCCCAACAACTAGCACCAATCTTATCACTGTTATACCAACACTCCCTCGACACAGGAGAAGTTCACCAAGATTGGAGAGATGCCTTAGTAGTACCAATTTTCAAAACAGGTGAAAAACACATACCTGCAAATCACAGACCAGTATCCTTAACATCAGCCTTGCTGAAGGAGCACAAGTTGATATCATCCTACTTGACTTCACTATGGCTTTTGACAAGGTCCCACATGTCAGACTACTGCATAAGCTGTCATACTATGGAGTGAACCACAACACAGTAAGATGGATCGAATCATTCTTGGCCATCAGAAATCAGAAAGTAGTGTTAGAAGGAACAAAATCAATACCAGCTAAAGTCTTGTCAGGAGTACCACAAGGATAGGTGCTAGGCCCTCTCTGGTTCCTTGCCTACATAAACGATATGCCAAAAACAACCAAAAACTCAGAGACACAACTCTTTGCTGATGATACCATCTTGTTCCTTGCCATTAATGGGGCATCTGACAGCCAGTTGCTGCAGGAAGATCTAAGCCTGCTTGAGGAATGGGAAAGAAGATGGCAAATGAATTTCAACCCAAGTAAACAGACAGTAATAAGAGTAGCACTTAATAACACCAAGTCAGTTATTCCCTCTAACTACCAACTTTATTGCCACACTTTGGAAACAGTTGACTCCAGGTCTCCAGCAAGAACCTGGGAGTCATAATAGCCAGTAACCTTTCCTGGGACAAACATATAGAAAACATAGTTGCCAAGGGAACAAGCTACACAACAATAGTTAGACCTACAATTGAATATGCAGCCACGGTATGGGACCCAACAACCCAAAGAAAAATCAAGGCCCTGAAAAATGTGCAAAGAAGAGTAGTGTGGTTTGTCACCAATAACTATAGACAGAAAACCTGAATGTGTGACCAACATGATAGCAACACTTGGTTGGTAAAGTCTAGAACAGAGAAGACTCAACGGTAGACTTTGTATACTATACAAAATACAACACCAGCTTATAGCAATCGACAGTAACCTAAACCTTAGGTATAAAGAACAAGAGGTCAACACTGTCTCTTCCAAAAAAAGATCCAACAACGAGGTATACAGAAACTCCTTCTTTTAAGAACAGTCCGAGACTGGAATCTCCTACCAGCCATCACAGTCGCTGCAGCCACCATAGAGGAGTTTATAGCTAACCTAGGAGTTAGCCAAACCAGTTACTAGAAAGGGACTACATGTATATAATTTAAATTGTACAAAACATACCCTTTAAATGTAAATAGACTAGGGGACTACATCTGTGTGCGCCAGACATAGTAGCCCAACAGAGCTTTAAACAGTTGGCAACAACTCCTGTTCTTTAACCGGAAGAAGAAGAGTATATTTTTTTCATCTGAATAACTTAATTACACATTTACTTTTAAAATCAAATAAAGTTTTTCTGGGAGACATCTCTGTTAAATATATTCCCCATAAGGTCTTTTATTGGCAACCGTAGCCATCTTGGAAAATCAATATTGAACCTTAATCAAAACACTAGGCGATTACATGTAATGTCTTGCATGCAATCATCATTATAAAGGAAAATTGCTTTATTTTTGCAGAAGAAACTGCTTGGCAAATTGAAATCAAAGAATCTCTGAAGGAAATATTTCTTGAAGTACTGGTTTGTGATTTGAATGTTTGTAAATATTAAATTAAAATATACTAATCCCAGATAATTTCTAATGAAAAATAAAGATTAAGATATTTGAAGTTTCCAGTCAAGCAGAAGGCATTTCCAATGGCTGACATGCACCAAATTATCAAAACTTGGTCAGGACAAGTGGCCACGCCATAACACAAACCGTAAATAAATTAAGCTTAAACTTTAAAATTTAAAACTGGGAAAAATGTGAAATCAAGTAAATGCTTATTACAAAAATTTTATAAAGTTGTTATAATACTGCAAACCTAATACTGACCCATTTTTCACATTAATAATTTGGACCTCAATTAAAAGGTCATCTGTCATATAGAGTAGGTTTTCTCTTCTCCCAAGGCTAACATCTATACAGATTTGACTGTACCTTCTCTCTGATTGAAGGAGATTATGCAAAAATTATTTGAGTTGTCATGTAACAAATTTACACCTGGTAGATAGACAAAGGTACAATGTGTGTTATAACTGTCTTTAAATCTAACACAAATCCACGATTTGAGGGGGGGCGGGGTTACTCCTGAGAATTAAGAATTTGATGACCTTATTATAACACAAAATTGGCTGTAATTTTACATTCATTACATTTTGTTTTCATTTTTTTATGGGGCCTGGGCACAGGGTGCGCCCCAATATTGATTTGCACCTGGTACCAGTAACTGAGATAACCGTTCTATAGACATCTTAAACCAGCCAACAGCAAAAAAAAAAGAGAAACTACATAAAGTCCAGAGACATATTCATACCTTTTTATACTAACACAGACAAGTTTACACAACAAAATAGAATAAATTTTCTCTCAACTAATACCTTGCAGTATGAAATTGATTGAAGATATGAATAATGGTCAATGTAGTTCTATATAAATGGACAGACAGAACACTACAGAAAAATCAATATTCTACCTCCAGCAACATGTAGAAATAGTCTATAAAATAAATTCATATTACTCTGGGGAAATTAACATCAGCAACAAATGATTACATATCTACCAAATAAACGTTGCATGAATAATTTTTATTTATTTCACACTCAATTGTGTTTCTGCATGACCTTCAACTTGGTATACATATATACAATCATCTTAGCTTCAGTAATTGCATTATAATGCAAGAAAGCTCAGCAATTAGTCTTTGATTTCTTTACAAATCAATTGCTTCTCAACATTTGATAGAGAAGCTTTTCTTTTTTAGCCAGTTTTTATGTTATTTGTAAATAAAGAATTTCATCAGAGAAAATAATCTCAAAATAAAACAAAATAAAAATGTGTATTTTGTCCATGTCAGGGCCTTTTATAGGTCACTACACTGCAAGGGTTTTGCTCATTGTCAAAGGCTGTATGGTGACCTATTGTTGTTTACATCCTAATCCCTTGGTCGCTAATGGATATTTATCTCAATGGCAATCACATACCACATCTCCTTATTTTTATACTGGAAGCAATTACCATGATTGTACTACATGTTGCATTGTTTTTGTTTCCTGTTTGGTTTTCCTTCTTGTCCTTAGAAGGAAAAGTCAAATCTTCCCCCAGTTCACTTACAATGTTAAAATATGATTACAAGTCATTGAGATTTATACAAGTTTTACATGAATATCAGGCTGAAAACATATTATCAAATGAAATATGAATATAAACCCTGCTTTGTATTAGACCATCACATTGAGCAGGATTTTTTACATGCTAATTCACAAGGTTACATTCCCAAGAAAGACATGTCCCCTTATACAGATGCATTATTCAGACTTCGTGCCAACCATTCTTTGCTCTTACTCCTAAATGTGGCTTGGTTAGCAGAGAATCAGTAAATATCAATTTTCTAGTCTTTCATTTTGAAAAAGGACACGGCTAATTTTCTGACAAAAGTTGTTCTAGCATGTAATAACTTGCATTGTGACCAAAATGTTGTAGAACTGTTTTTTTTTTTCAGAACAGTAGCAATCAAATATAATTGATATCCTAATTGGTTTTGAAAAATAGTCCTTAAAAGGAAAAGTTCTATCAAAATCACTCAAGCCCAAAATATAGGTCATCTAACTAAAAAATATTTTTTTTTTTTTTTTTTAGTTAAGATAGTTGTGGAAGTAAATGATCACTAGTATATATATCACCAAACTTCTCTGAGGAATGGATGCACAGTAGAAGATAGACATGAGTAAATCTTGACCCTCAAACAAGTCAAGAAAAGCATAACAATAA